CCCCTAAAATTAGGGCCCTCCGAAAAATGGAAATTAGGGATCCTCAATACGCCCCCCCTGAGCTCCCACGGTTCTGAGGTCCTAGTGGATTGATTTAAAAGGGATTGTTGAGAATCCTTCCCATATTTTTAGGCCCCCAAAATCGAAACTCATTATAGGGGACCTTCCAATCATTACCCTGATCCTGAATAGGCCGGCCCCTAAACTCATTATAGGAGGCCCATAGGCAAAAGGAGGTCCAACATTATATATATATATACATATATTCACTCCCTCACCCTAAACTTAGAATTGTCCCTATGTTCGTCCCACACCCTCAACACTAAACCTTCAAATACTCCTTATTTTCACTCCCCATGCCCCATTCAGCACCAGTAAGTCACCCAAGGTCTTGCTGAGGAAGATGACCCTCATGGTAGTGAATGCAATCCTGCCAGTCTCGCCTCCGGACTCCTACAGTAAAGGGTATGGATCATTTGGGAGCAGAAGGCTATAATTTAGGGTTTAGGGGTAGGGTTTAGGTGTAGGGTTTAGCGATTAGGGTTCCGGGCGGGGATCAAGGTTTAAAGTTTAGGGACTGTAAGGCTTGCTCATGAAACCGTATGGAGATGATTATTTAGAGTAAGATAGGGTTCATACAAGTCTAGGAGTTGTATAGGGTTGTACAGGGGTCATATAGGGCTATGTGAGGGTGATGGAGGTTCCGGGCTTTAGGGTGCAGGCTCCATGCGAGTCCACGCCCAAAGGGTGAGATGTAAGCGTCCACAGACAGCCTGAAAGCCCACAATTCAATCTCGTCAAGCTCAACATCCCTCAATTGTACTTGAGGGTTTGCAAAGGTGGGAGGTCCCAATCTAGGCTCCAATATGCTGTAAACCCTATACCCACAAAAACGAGCCCCTGAATGTGATTCTCGGGAGAGTTGGGCATTACCGAGGCTCCACGCCGCACTGCAGATGGAGTGCATCACTGTGATTCTGCTGCTTCTGGATTGCAACATGGGGGTTTCCCAGAATTAGGAGTGACATTTTCGGGTGTCCCCACAATAAAGATTTTGGGGTCTATATTGGAGTCACCCTGTTTATGGGAAAGTGGAAATTACCAAGTGAATGCGGTCCGTACAACAGGCTTATTCTTTCATATCCCAGTGTGGGTATGGTTCTATCGCAATCAAGGCCCTTCACTTACCTTCTACTGCGGACTACATACCCACTACTAGACCACAAAGTCGTCATTCAAAGGTATTACCAGGGTCTAGGAGCTTTTTCTTCGGTAGTGGAAGTTCCACCCCTGGAAACAAGTTCTTGAAATGCCTTTGCTTGCTTTTCTTCAAGGCTGCAAAAATCTTGGCTGGTAGCGTTACATACTTGGAGGTTAATGTGACTCACCAAGTGGGTATGTTTTTGTTTACAACCTCACTTACAACTTCCATTGAGGCAAGCTAGATTCCGAACTGATCCACCTTTGCTACTCAACAGCAAGCAGCAAAAAACTGGACCTTTCAACGATGGTCCAATCCGTTCTTTTTTGAGTCCCGCGTTCCATTCCGTTGCATGCCTCATCCAGCTTCTGTCCCATGCCGAAACAGGAACGGTTCCGGTCCGCGGGGTCCATTCCAGGCCGTCTCTTTGCGAGGACATTTCCCGCATACACTGTCAGCCGCTAGACAGAGAAGCCCAAAGCAAAAGCGGCTGGGATTGGGACCCGGTACGCAATATAGCAGAGGGCTACATTAGAAGCTTCAAGAACGCCTATGAAGTGTCCAGAAGTTCGGGATATTTATGGAGTCCCCCTATTTATGAAAACTGCCATATACAGACCTTTCCAGACATCTTGGAAAACGATCTGCAAACTATCAGATGCGAAGCAGATGTCGAACGCTGCCAAGGATCTCACTTGTCATGAACCACAAGTACTCGCCCTACGTATTGAAGGCCGTGCGGGGCATGGACAGTTGCCGAATGGGTTGAGAAGAATCAGGCAAGGGTAGACATGGCTCTTGCGCGCCCGTAACGTAGCCCCTTGAGCGCAAATCTTCACTCGTGCGCTGTCACAGTATCAATTGTTTTGAAGAGTTACGTTCAGAGGCCTTGAAGTGGCCGAGGACTGGACATGATTTTTGCATTTTGATGCAGCTTGGATGATGTGACTTACCATGTGAGACCGGAGCGCTTGGATTGAAGGAAAAATGTGCAGCTTTCACTTCAAACCTACGCGGCCATGTCTCATCCCAAGCTGCACACGTAGGCGTGGAACAACTCTGAGAGCGTCCTGCTCATCTTGGCCTTGGCCACCGTCACGCTGACCTCCTGCTACAAAGCAAATGCTTCATGGCTTGTCGGAAGGGTCTTCTGGTTTTGTGGTTGCACTTGCGGGTGTGCATTCGAGACAATAACGATGCAAATGGTGATGATGATGACGGCGGCGATGATGATGGTGATGTGCTGGTGCTGATGCTGGGGCTGGCAACTGCTGCTTGCCCATGGCCTGCCCGCAAGGAGCCCCCAATGCGAAGATTTGGGGCAAGACTTGGGAAGAAGTCGCCAGCTGCTCTTAAACAAGAGCTTTTGTCCTTTCGATACTGCCTTATTTACACAATAGACTGGGCTTTTGCGGGGTTTTGACCGGGGCCTTGTAAGAAGGGTCCCTGTCCTGCAGAATCCGAAGAAAGACCGGGATGTCGAATGAAAGCCCCACCCAACAACAGCACGTTAATAGCTGCAGCTTCTCTAGCGGCTGTTGCGCACTTTGGCTTAACCGCCAAAAACCCTCAGGGCGTCGTTATGATTTGTGCTGGTGTTGTCATGATTCTCGTTGTGTTTCTCTATACTCTGCTTGTCAGAAGTCTTTTGACTGTTAGATGACATTCATGACGCCCAAGGGCCTATTTTTCCTCAAGTGCCATGTGTCGCTTCACTCGCCACAAGCCCAAGGAGCTAGATTGGGCCCAGAGTGCAACTGCTCAGCAAGTTCCTTGGCCAGCCTTGGACTGGGCCATGGTCGGAATTTGGTGAACCTTTCCCAAATTGAGGGAAATCCTAAGGGTCCTACCAACCCTACACTGTCCGCGTAACGCTTGGGAACCCATATAACTCCTTCACTAGAACCCCCAAAGAGATTTGAAATTGAATCAGATATGTTTGCTGGCTAGGGTTTGTGCCACAGCTCTGGTGTTGTGGCAGCAAGGGCAGTGCTCAAAGGTCCCTAGCAGCATGGGTCCTATGCCGAAAAAAGCTGTCGACTATACAGTACGCTACTATACTATACAACTGGTGTGTATGCCACACAACACATTGTTTACAATGTGCCACATGCATTCACTGCTTGCACTGATGCACTTGCCGACACGCGCGTAACGTCTGACAGCGTGGCGACGCACTGGCTGGTACTGGTACGACCTTGCCCTGAAAGTATAGCGGTCAGTGGATCACTACACTGCCCGGCTACAGAAGTTCAGCCCAAGGAAGTACTTGCAAGAAGCAACACTTATTTCGGTAAGGTGAACAACCTCTGCTCGCTGCCCCGCAGACTTCTAACACCTGAGTCTGGGGTCGTCTGCAGTAAAGATCTAACTGAAATCACCCCGCTAGCAGGACCAACTGACAGTAGATGTCAGAGGTGGAAGTTCAGTCAAGCAGCAGGGCACCAATACAAAGTCAAAGCTCTTGAAGCGCCGATGTAGTAGTCCCGGTAGTAAAATTTCAAGAATTGCCTGTATATATTGCATTCATCCGTTCCTTCTTCACCAACAGTTAGACTTTTTGCATTCGCGCCACTGAGTCCTTGATGGTCATGATTATCTTGCTGGCCACAGGAGCCTTGCATTATTGCAAGAAAGATGGATGGGTTCTTTAAAAAGGGGCCTTAGAATTCAACAAACAGGTATATCTATATCATAGGTATGAGCCACAAGGAACTCGCAGACGGCATTTTGCTGGTAGATGTGTGATTGTCGATGCTGCGAAGTTCCAAGCGAAGCAGCCGCAGCCAAGACCTCTGCAAAGTTCATCCGTAAGAGCACAACGGCTGACGAGCAGCTTAGGCTACAATGTATTTTCCCAGTCTGTAGTAAATGCTAAACCCCGATGACGTCCGAACAGAGGCTGGACACTTTTTTGTCAGAATTCTTGTCATCAATCTCAGGCCCGCTTGTGATTCTTTGTGTAGTTGTTTGCAGGACCAGCTGTATTTATGGGCATCCGCATTACCATCGCCCTCTACAGAGAGATCATGGAGGATCCTGCGCCCTGGCTCTCGCGGCAGCCAACAGCAATAGGAGGAGGAGCAGTAGGAGGAGTAGTCGTTGCTGTTGTCGTAGTAGTAGCAGTAGTAGCAGCAGTAGTAACAGCAGCAGACAGCAGCAGCAGGAGCAGCAATAGCCATAGTACCACAAGCATACCTGCCTCAACCGTCACAATCTCTAAATCCAGTCTTTGTGTTGTCTGCTGGAAAGGTTCCAAGGTCTCAATGTGTAGAACCGCCCAACGTGGACAGAGTTGTGCTTGAGAGATGGAACGGGGAGCAGATTTGTTCGGGGGAACGCATACCCATGCCACTCAGTAGGACCAAGGGTCAAACCAGAGATGAAAGTCAGAATGTCTGCATGCCATTAAAGGACTATAGGGGCATGCTCGTGAACAGGGTCGAGGGTGCCAGAGATTTGCTGCATTCTCTATGTTGAGCCGCTAGGCAACAACTACAACTTGTCGCTTAGAACACCTATTTCCGAAGGGTTTCCAGGCACAACAAGTTTTTATGGAAGCATGCTGCGCCATCTATAGAGTGCTTTCTCTTCTTGAAGCGAGGTGCTGGCTGCGCCAAAGGAGTTGAAAGGCGACGGCTGAGCTACTGGCTGCCTGATACCCTGGAATGTCCCAGGCACGGTCCAACATGTGGAACCAGGAAAACTAAGGGTCAGGATAGCAGTAGTGAAGATCGAGGTGTTTCGGAGATCTTCGTTGTGGAGTATCTAGAGGCTGTGGACATAGATGTCCAGCGGACATCTCGGAATCTAAGCAACTGCATTCAAACTCGCAATCAGCCTTACTGGGGCCGCAACCCTGAACTACAAAACTTACATGGGAGTTGTGTCAGACTTTCCCTGGACAATGATCAAAGGTGCCGCCACGAAGTACTGATGACCCGTTGTCCCTAGGCTCAGCTTGGCCACCCCGATTTTGACAAGTCCCACATACTTGTTCTTAGGACAGTTATGGTCACTCAAACTCTTCCTTGACTACCAGGCATGCTGCTCGTATCATGGACAAGTGAGAGCATCTTAACAGTACCCACCCCTTCAAGGGAGTCCTCACAACGAGAACTGTGTGATTTCGCGGGCCCGCGGGGAACGCCAATCCTGAGCAGCTCCAAAGCCACAAGAGTGTTCTTCTGACCTTACATGAGGCAAACCACACAAACACACAGTTCTCTAGTTCGCTGGAGTGCTGTCTCATAATTCTGACGCCTTTGCAGGGGTATCCAAGTTGCAGATGGACCTTTTCAAAAAAAAGCACCCAAACATGTCCAGACATCTTGCCAATACAACCGCCTCGCAGCAAAAAAAGGCCGATGCTCACCGTTGCTGGCGTTGTGTGTGCGTGTGTGACCTTATCCTGGTAGGCTATTGCCCTAGGGATCGGAATAGCCCAATGTAGGCAATATTTACAGACTCTATGGGGCCCGATGTAGGTGTTATTTGACTTGGATCCCTAGGGATCACTTGTTCGAGCAGAATCCAGTGACATGCCCGCAAGAAGGTGGTCTTTATGATAGGACTTTGTAGCAAGAAAGGGGCACCGCCTGAACGTGGGATAGAGTGACAAGCAAGTCGGATCTCAGTGATAATGTGAGGGCTGACACTATGTTGATCGTTGAGTACCAAAAGCTTTCGTGTAACAAGCCGGCTACAAGCCTTCCCAAACAAGGATTTGGATTCGACAGTCCGCAAACAGCTTTCAGTCTGACTGGACGCAACTTTTGGTCCTTTGTGAGTGAGCTGATCTCCCTGTTGCGACTCATCTCTTTTGTGTTCTGCGCCCATGCCTCCACATAAGCCACTGAAACAAGCCACAGCACGCTTGATAGCTATTGTGCAGGTAGGGCACTTGATCTTGTTTTTGCGGCTGCTTCTGCTCGCCGCATACTGTAAGCTGAGCTAGACTCTAGACCAGACAATGAAAACACAACCCCTTCAAAAGTCTTTTTAGTTGCAAAATGTGAAAGAAGCAGTGTTGTAATTTTCTGCAGGCAGTTGAAAATTAGTTTCCACCTCACACGTTCCACAGCCTCTTCCCCACCGCCCCCAATGCCGCGCCAAAGATAGCAAGCATGGATGATGACGAGGACTACTCAAGGAGGCCAGCTATCGTTTGCGTCCTGGTCTTGCTCTTATGACAAGAAGGATGCATGGCTCTGCAGCTATATAACATTTTGGACAGTAGACGAACGTTTTGGTACAATGTAAGACACCACGACTACAACGCAATTTCACTCTGTGTGCGTCTTCTTCTACAGCTCCCTCATGCCCACCATCCCAAGAATAGTGTGTGGAGCATGAAGCATGGCCGGAAAAGGGTAGCGCAAGTAGTCTCGCCCCCTCAGAACCTCCAAACGCTTTGTCGGCTTCAGGCATTGAGTCCTTTACACACTTGGAAGTAACGAGTATGTACACGATGGAGCTTGTTGTTCTTGTTCCTTTTGCTGCGGCCATGAGCATCATCATCGAAGCTGCTTCCGCCAGTCATTGTAGGCCCAATTGTTTGCTGCATAAAGAATTGTCAAACCCCAAATCCCAGTCCCAAAGCTCTGTATGCCTCAGACCGTCACAAGGCTCCCGGGAAGTCCATGCTGCGATGCGCTCAGCCCCTATGAGGACTTCTCCAAGAAGTTTTAATCCGCAGCGTTGCTGACAGAGTGTGGGTCTAGGCGGCTTCAGCAGGTTTGGGGAGTTTGGAGCTTCCAGGTGAATTTCTGGGTAGCACTTAGGGGCTGGACCTATGAGAATAGACACCACGTGGCTCTTTAGAGAGAGCATTCCAGAACTCTATCAATGTTCTGAAGGATTCTACAAAGATATACAAAGATAATGCGGAATGGCGAGGAGGTCTCCATGGTCCATGGGTTCTGGCCGAGGTTTGGCAGGGTAAACAGGTCAATCGCTGTGTATGGTGGTTCTAGGATTGAGGGAGCGGTGGGCCTGCACTAAGATTTGGGGCTTGCTTGCATTCAGGACTTGTTATACGACCTTCAAATTCAATGTATTCTCGTCAAGGGGCAGAAGTCCCGGGCCAGGGTATATACGGGGCGCAATTCGGTCTCCCCGATTTTTGTATTCCATGCTGTGCAGCTGTCTTACGAAGCAAGCTGTTTGGCTCCTTAGTAATTCGCTGCCCAACTAACCAATCCTCACTGTGCACATCCTCACAGATTGCTCGCAGCTTTGGTTTGAACCTTTGTGGTGCTGATAGTGGCCGGCTTTACCATAAGTGTATCATGCATCACTGTGGCTGAAACAGATTCTGAGAGCTTGTTGGTACCAGAGCTTTTCCTCATCGTGCTATGGGCAGCCCTTCTTTAATAGAAGCCTTGGCCCCTCGAGTAGAAACTAGGGACAATTAAGGGGACCGCAAGAATTCCTTTAGTTATCCCACTTGCCCCGAACCCTTCACTCAGCTGACCTGATAGACCCTAAACCCTAAAAACCCTAAACCCCTAAATCCTAACCCCTAAAGCCCTACACCCCTAAACCCTAGACCCCTAAACCCTAAACCCCTAAACCCTAAACCCTAAACTCTAAACCCTACACCCCTAAACCCTGAACCCTAAACTGCAAGGAGGATGAAGACGCCGGTTTGGCCAATGACGCGGAGGCCTCCGGCCTAGCTGCTTGCTAGGCCAACAAAAAAGGAGAATGGAAAAGAACATGGAAACTACTATAATGGGTTATATAGAGGGTTCAGGGTTTAGGATTTAGGGTGTAGGGTTGAGGGAATGTAAAAGAAAAGGGAAACTACCATAATGAGTTATCATGGGTTATATAGGGTTTAAGGTTCAGGGTTTAGGGTTGAAGGAATGGAAAACAAAATGACAACTACTATAATGAGTTATCATGGGTTTTATAGGGTTTAAGGTTCCGGGCTTAGGCTTGAAGGAATGGAAAACAAAATGGAAACCACAATAATGGGTTACAGTGGGTTACATAGGTTTTAGGGTTTAGGGTTGAAGGAATGGAATAGAAAATGGAAACTACTATCATGGGTTATACAGGGGTTATATAGGCGGTATACGGCTTTATAGGGTTTATATAGGGATAATGGAACATAACATGAACACTACTATAGTATAGCAGGGTATATGCAGAGATCTAGAGGGGTTACATAGAGATATTCTTCCAATAGTGGAGAATCACGTGGAAAGAATGGAAAATGACACAGACTACCATTTAGGGCTCATAGGGTTTAGGGATAGTACCACGATAGTAGAAAAGAAAATGGAACAAAGCAAAAGGAGCATCTAATGGAAGCTGGGGGGGGGATGTGGTTTGTGTTTTAGGGTTCGTTTGTTGGTTGTTAGGAGGGTCTGAGGGAACGGAAAAGAGCATGAAGACTACCATACCATATAGGGGCTACTATATCCATCCTCTGCTAACAACGAGTAATCACGGGTTCCCCTTCAACCATACTACCCCGCTAGGTTCCCTGTTATTTACCTGTCATTAAGCCTAGTTATCCCAAAGATAACTTGAATTCAGGGGGAAGCTAGGGGAGGTAGTATAGAGGGGGGTAGCAGGGGAACCCATGAGGCAAGTACCCTGCCGGTGTATTTGTAACTAGGGAATGCAGGAATGGAAAAGACCATATGAAGACTACCAGATCACAAGTATAGAGACTACTATAGGACCATAGGGATCCTTTCCTCCATTTTCTGCTAACAGCAAGTACTCTGCCAGTGCTTTAGCCATTAGTGTTATTACCAGGGGCTTCACAGATCAGGGGACCATTTGAGGAAGTCCACAAGTAGACAGTGATTGTATTGCCGGCATCCAAGGAGGATCCCTATTTTGGAAGTACCCACCATGAATATGAGCTATAGTCTAAACTCCCTAAAGGGGTATATACGCGGGAATATATCGGGGACTACTATAGGGGATATTAACGGGTATACTAGGAGGGAGTTCAGACTATAGCTCATATGACCTTGGAGATTGACAACTAGTAGAGCAAGCATTTCAGCAATCACCATGCCACCCTGGTGACTTGGATTGCAGCTGTAGGTAGGGAGAACCCAAGCCACAATTTAACATCAGGTAATACCGTGTAGTGCTTTGTTATGACTACTATCTCATCGCACTATCGTCTCATAATGTACTGACCTATTTACAGAGTTATAGGTCGACCATGAGTTCGAAAGTATTCCACGATCTTTTTCGCGTGTCTGGGGAAATTACTCTTGGTACATTTGAAGCCCAACAATTACAACAGGGCTGGGGGTTAGAATGGTTATGGTGGGATAAAGATGTCAGCGACTCAGGCTTCTACGTGACCCCAGCTTTGTGATGCCAATGGTTTGCTTTGAAGGGCTGTCGGGACCCAAACTGGCTTCCTTCTATGCCCAGGATCTCGAGGGGCCCCAAGGGTTCCCCCCCTTTTAAGAAACACCCACGAATCTCAGACCCTCCAGTCCTAAATCCCTAAAGCCCCAAACCCTAAACCGTTCAACCCAAAACCCCTAAACCCTTAAACCTAAACCCCCAAGCCCTAAACCCTTAAAACCTAAACCGCCTAAAACCTTCAACCCTAAACACCCAAAACCCTCAAACCCCTAAACCCTGCAACCCCAAACACATTTATGCTTGAGAGGTTGAAGAGTTTGCTGAGTTTGCGAACCGGGAAGCTCTCAGAAGCACCTGCGCTGCCCAGCGCTCAGGGTTTAGGGTTGAGGGTTTGTATTGTTGAGTCATTGAGGGTTTAGGGTTTGTAGCTGTAGGGCTTATAGAGTTTACGATTTAGGGCTGATGAGGTTTATAGGGCATAGGGTTGAGGACCTAGTGTTAACAGGGATTCTGGGGCAAAGGTTGTGTGAATTGTTTTTGTTCCCTGACTGTCCCTTTTCCTTCCTCCCTCCCTCCTCCCTCCCTCCGTCCCTCTCTTCCTCTCTCCGTCTCTTCCTCTTTCCCTCTTTCTCTCTCTCCCTGTTTTGCTTGATGCTTGCACCATGCGTTCTTGAGAGGCCCCAATGGCAGTCACTTTGCACTGCATACGTGTGAGGGGCTTATAGGGGATCATGAGTTGGAGAGATAGTCTGTGGCCTTTTCCGGCGCGAGTCGGTTCCTGCTTTCATGTTGTTCTCCCACAGAATTTGCAGCTCACTACCTGAGAGAAGGATTTGGTGTTCAGTTGTAGAGACTCTTAACTATCGTCCTCAGTATGGGTCCCCCAAAATTGGGAAACCCTAAACCCTAAATATCCCAAAGCCCTGTATGATATATGTATATACATATAGACGTATATATATATACACATATATATATATCTCTCTCTCTCTCTCTCTCTCTATAACCCCTGTAGCCCCTTGAAAGGGACCCCAAATGTTGGGAAACCCCCATATACATGCTGCCGAGGTCGCCACTCTGCTCTCATGGAGCCAAAGCAAGGCGGGAAGATTTCGCGGTCTCAACACCAGATGCTCATAATAGTAGTGGTATTTTGATAGTACTTCTGAGTGTAATAGCCAAAACAAAAATCAAAGTAATAATCATTGTAGTAAGAAAAGCAGTAATAAGTCAGGAATCCCTGGTTACTTAAGTTGATGAAGGAAAACATTTGTTTTTCTTATAGAAAGGGTTCTGAAATAGTCTAAACTGGTCAACCCTTTTTCGTGCTCGCTCCTTCTAACTGAGTGTAGGCTGATTTGATTCCGTCTGTTGTGATGTTTTTTAGCTGAATAAATACCATCCGCGCACTACGGTATCCTAAAGAAGCCACTGGTCTTGATTGTGTTCTGCAGTTTTCCTCGTGTTTCTGCTTTCTCGTAACATGGCTACGCACTACGCGTCCATGCCGTTGTCCGCTACTTCATTCCTCTTATCATAGATACAGATTGTAGTTGCCATTCTCTTTCCCCTTCAAGATTGATGAAACATTATTCATACTTGGCATATGTGCGGGCGTGCACATATTTGCATACTTACAGGCGCATCTTGATTCTACATATGCATATGTATATATATATATAAGTAGATGTATGTATTTACTTTTACTTACTTCTTTATGCTTATTCATTCATATCATATATTCATGTATACATGTAATCAACAGCAGTTTCGAGCTTCGTTTTCATCAGCTGAAGGTGCCCGATGGCATCCTGACCCCGGAGTGCTCCGAGTATCCGACCCGGCTCTTGAAACAGGGTTTAGGGTTTAGTGCTGGGTTTCGGGATTTCGGGCTTCGGAATTACAAGGTTTTGGGGTTAGGAATGTGGGGATGAATAACAGGGTTTTGGAGGTTTAGTTTAGGATTGGGTGGTTCCTGAATGGCTCTGGGTGCATCAGCGCACGGTTCCATGAAAGATGCTACTCTTTTAAAGTTTGACCTTAAACCCTAAACAATAAACCCTGAATAGTAGCTTCCATTTTCCATTATCCCAATATAATCCGAATATTACCCCAATTGTGGGTGGGTAGGCTGCTCTTCTTGTCCAATGACCTTCCTGAAATTTAGATCCTGGCAGATTAATTAAAGGTTATACGTCCCAGGTTTAGTTTAGGGTTTAGGGTTTAGTGTTGGTGCTAGACCACTTCTGGATGAATCAGCATTTTCTTCCCCTTTCAGCAAGCCAGCACTTGTAAATTCAAGCTGGATTTTGATATGGCGGCCTGAATCGAGAATGGAGGCACAGCCTAGAAGGACTACTGGTGAGAGCTGTAACCCATTGAGAATATCACAGGTTTGGCTAGCTTGGCTGTTGCCTGATTCAGAACCAACAACCGAGCGCAATACAGCCTAATCCCCAGTCGCAGGAGGACGGTGACAAAAAGACAAGTTAAATGCTCAAACATAAGGCTTGAAGACGGCATGAGAACATATTTTCCAACAACATGTTACCATGTTTGCTAGGTTGGCCGGCTCCCGACAAATGCAGTCATGAGTTGCTGGCCTATGGTGTTTCAGTGGGTGCTGGTATGCTGTCTGCTTTCAGGCCCATCTAGGGGAGGTGGTGCTGCCTTCTGGTTCGAGGTTCGCAGGAAGACTGCAGACTCAATGAAATTGAGATGTTAATGGACAAATATGGCAGTTTCCACAAACAGGGGGACCGCAATAGAGAACCCAAAACAATATTATCAAAACTAGGTGACCTTCCCCCCAATTGTCAGAACACCCTTTTTTTCACTTTACCCCGCTGCTTCGGACCAACAACTTTGATATTTTGCGGTTGTCACTGTACATCTCTTCTGGTTGACGCAGCCGTTCTTCTGCTCAAGCTGTAACAGCCGCCGCAGTCTACCAAACAGGTCTTACACCGCCGGTTGCAATGGCTGTGCGGTTTTCTTGTTCTCGCGACTTGGCTTTGCACTTTGAGGTCGATGTGCTATACGGCTTCGGGACTTAGAGATATTGGAGGTAGCCGGGGGGCGTGGCTTGAAGAGGGCAAGAAGATGGTCTTCCAGACAAAGTAGGACGACATTTCGCTGTTAGCATCTTATCCGCCTGTTCATATTCAAGAATCGCGTCTCCATGATTCGACAGCCATGCTTCCGTATCTAAATCAAGTTCTTTCCAGGAATATGCATTGTTACGCGGATTGGCGCTGCGCACCTTAAAAACCAACGAAGGGCCAAACGCCTTCTAAGGCACGAAGACGCATAGCCCAACAAGGCCCCTGCAATTTGAAGACATGGGTCTATACCCCCAATTTCGATTTCATTGTCCATTTGATTCTCAATTATTGGTGTAAAACACTGGTATATAGGGGTATGATATGGGTTTATCTAGGGATTCTGGACAAGAAGATGGAAGCTACTATTTAGGGTTGTTGAGGTTTCATGTTTGCAGCGTGAAGAGTTGGCTTAGCAACCCCAAGACACTAAACCCGAAGCCCTGTGCTCACTCCCGCAAGCAAACATGGAACTGCATGCATGGGCCCTTCTTTCTACATGTATGTGAAGCTGCCAAGATATGCCCAGATTAGTAGTATGTTAATTGAGGTTACTCTGGCCTCAAAAATTCAAGATTACATTCTCCTCTGGGGCATCCTACTTCATGAGAAGAAGGTGATCTCACTTGATTAAAAAAACGCAGATGAGGCCAAACTTTGCTTCTCCAGCTGATCCTTCTCGGCTGGCAGGTGCCAGCAATGAACGTTTCTGTTGTCAGCGGTGCTTAAGTTTTTAGAACTAGCTTGGCCTAAACATGTGTACAGATCTAGACTTGAACTAAACTCGCGAGGATTTGGGTGACAAGGAAGTGGTATGGAACGTGAGGTATGGGATTGGAGTAAGAATCCAAGACCTTCGGGGAAAGTATGTATTGGTAAAACTTGCAAGGGTGGTAGGAGGCTGCAGGGGTTAGTCCGGATGCGAACCTACGACTCTTTTTTGAGCCCTCTTCTTCCTAATTTTGGTATCGTCTTATGAGACCCCGATTCGAGGAAGAAATGCTTATACATGCCCACGTATTTTGTGAAAACCAGTACAAGTCCCAGAAGCTTTGTTAAGTGCTCCCTCTAGACCATTAAGGGTTTTCACAGCGACTGATATGTGCCCTGATTTACAAGCTATGCACATTCACTGCCCTATGTCTTGCCGCAGCCATTTGAAAACTCGTATCTTGTTTCAAGCTGTAGTCCCTCAAGCTATGGCTGTGCAGATGGAGCACGTGCACAGTGCCCTCAGTCTGGACGGAACTAAACATTTCCCCCCTGTTGGAAAGCAAGTATCTTGGCATTTTGTCACGATGACCGCTGCGTTAGCGTCGGCCTCGGATTTACTAGCGGATGTCATGCCAGCAGAGCCGTGAACGCGTCAAAGCACATTACTTCCGTTGACTCAAACACTTTGGACCAGTTTGCAATTCAAGATGCCCTTGGGCAAAATTCAACAATCTGTTGACAAAGGGTGCAAGCGCGCAGCTTTCTTCTTCCCATTGGATGCGCATGAGCGCATGGAGCACTTGGCGGTGCAAAGGGCACTGCAAGTGACAACTTCCGATCAAGGAGGGCGAGGTCAGGTAAGAAGTGACGCCACCCACGTTGCGGGAGCCGTACGCGTACACGCACCCATATCTTTGCAGCATCACACAATTAAATGTTGGCAGGCGCAGTCGGAGAAATTTGGGTGCTCCAACCAAGGCACGTTTTCTCGAAGTCGAAGCAAATGCCATTGGTGCTATCGGAGGAAAGGAAGCTGAAGCCGGAGGAGTTTTGGCGCAGCGGAGGCCGGAAGACCGCTCCCGAAGCCAGCGCCGACTGAGGCAGGGCCTTGGCACCCATGTCAGGTCATCTGGTCCCACAGACGGCTCCACGCCCAGCCACTGGAGTTGCGTTGCAAAACCCCCTGCACAAAGCGCAGGCCTTTGCACCGGCCTCTGCACTTACAAAAACAATGAGATTTACGAGCGACTGGCATGCCAGCGAAGAGCCGTGAACATTTCAAAGCACGTTGCTTCCGCTGACTCAAGCACTTTGGACCAGCTTGCAATTCAAGATGCCCTTGGGCAAAATTCAAAAATCTGTTGACAAAGGGTGCAAGCGCGCAGCTTTCTTCTTCCCATTGGATGTGCATGAGCGCATGGAGCACTTGGCGGTGCAAAGGGCACTGCAAGTGACAACTTCCGATCAAGGAGGGCGAGGTCAGGTAAGAAGTGACGCCACCCACGTTGCGGGAGCCGTACGCGTACACGCACCCATATCTTTGCAGCATCACACAATTAAAATGTCGGCAAGCGCAGTCAGAAATTGGGTGCTCCAACCGAAGGCAAGTGCTCTCAAAGTTGAAGCAAATGCCATGGCTGCTGCTGGAAGAAAGGAAGCTGAAGCCTTGCAGTCCAGAGAAGCGGCCTCATCTTCCTCCGCGCCTGCAAGGGGTAGCCAGAGGCGTTCTGGCGCAGCGGAGGCTGGAAGACCGCTGCCGAAGCCAGCGCCGACTGAGGCACGGTCTTGGCACTCGTCTCAGAACTCCCATCTGGTCCCACAAACGGCTCCACACCCAGCCACTGGAGTAGCACTGCAAATCCCCACTCTGATGCTCCGAACGCCAAGCCCTGGTTTTCATCCAACTTGGCCCGGAGTTTGCTCTCACGCGCCATGTAGACCGTGCTGCGGGGGTTGTTGTGGATTTTGTGCTTTACAGCTAGGGCTTAAAACGTGTATGGGGGAGTTGGTTGGGGGATGGCTGGGGTCAGGGGATCCTGGCGATTAGATTCTCTTTACATGTAGAATGGGTCCTGCCTAGTAAGGGGGCTACTAGTTAGAGCCTATTTAGATTTGGGCCCGTCCTTCAACGCGGCATTTCCCCAAAAGCCTGTTGAGCTAGTGCCTTTGTAGCAGTGTGTATGGAGTAGTAAGTAGTAGTGATTTGTGAAAATGCTGTGGGATTCTTGTGGGTCTAGCAGGCAATTCTTTTTGAAGTCGGGCACGCAATCCACTGCTGAAATCAGGTGTCTCCAGAAGCAGTGCCGCGTTCAGTAAATTTTAAGTATTCATAGCGGCCTTTATAGCTTGTCGGATTTTCTAAGATTTGTAGAGACCAAATATTCCTAATGGTCCATATGGCTTATCAGAGCTTCTAGGACTGGTGATGGCTTGCATTTGTGGGGGGCACTAGTAAGTTTTTTTTGGCACATCGGAGCTCCACGAAATGATACCTTTTGTTGCCTCTCTGTTCATTTTGCAAGTAAGCTTCACTACTTGACTTGCGCACCGGCTCTTCTTATGCCCGCTTACTTGAGTTTTCACTGGTTTTTTGGCCCCTATTACCTCGTGAATTCAAGGCGGTGGGCATATGTAGTCATATAGCTTCATGTCATCTTTGGGTTACAAATTCACAAAAGTTCGGAATCCCACATGTGAGTCAAATAGTGCAAAAGATATCGCAACAACTGAAGCAAAACCAAGACCTTTTAGAAAATGTCGTCCTTTGGATTTGGGTGGGCTAGCCTTGGGTACACACAAGGACTAATCTTGACAGCCCCCACATGCTTATAACTCTCTGTCAGTACCCGCAATCCCCCAAAATCGGCATTTCAACCCCATCCCACGATTTCTTTTTCATTCCATTTCAAACCAAATCGATCTTTATCCCAAATCTTTACCACTGCGTCTCACGTCCAAATGTGTATGAGTCCCTTTTGAACCTACTCTTTTACAACTATCTTTAATTCGTTAACATTGTAGTACTTTCATAAACGCCTCGCAGAATTTTCGTCAGTAGCTGGAAATCATACATGTTGTCGTTAGGGGAGCGCACAAATGCCACACGTGGATGTCCGTCCAACGTTAGTTCTTGTCAATGATTTTTTTGCATGTGGTATTCGTCCTGTGGAATGAAGCCGGTTTTTGATTCGCATTTCCGCAAGCAGTTAATCTTGGTTGGCGGGGGTGCGTTGCAGCTGGGGATCATGGTTTATGGCAACGCACATTGTAGAAACTGTGACGCTATCCACCTTCCACAACTTACAAGCAACTCCAAGGCCAAGGCCTGTACCTGCATTTGACCTTGTCGAATGTCATAAAGCCCTTGTTCCATTTCGAAGTTTTTGTATACCCTAGGCCCTATATATCCCTATGCGTCTTTGCATACCTTCAAAAGTATACATACATACATACATACACTTTGTATCCTTCAGAATCCATGGGGACGAAAAGGATTCCCCGTGTTCCAGGCAAAGGCGGCTGAAGTCCCTGAAGGTTCTGCAGCGGAGGCACGATTGACGCACAGCTGCTTGGCGAGCAAGGTTGGAGTGAGGCGGCTTTTAGGGGCCGCTCCCACTAATTAAGGCCCTAATACGAACTGTCAAAGTGAATTCATGGGAACCCCAAAACAAGGAACCC